CCAGAAAACGTTTTCATTCAGGTAAATAACCCTTAAATTATTTTAATTAAAATTTTTTTTCTGTCTCAACATCTTATATACAGTAAATTCGATTTTCCGGCTATGCCATCGTAACCTGTTTCAGTGAACAGCTGTTATTTGTTCATTTAAAACACCAGAAATATGGCACTTTTATTGTTATATTTTGAATGTACTGGGCAATTTTTCATTTTAAAAACTTTCCAAAACCTGTAAATAAAGTTTTAGAAAAAGGTTTCATATATATATATATATATATATATATATATATATATTTATATATATATATATATATAGCAAGTATATAAATATAATAAATTCAATTGTGAGAAAATATTTAAATTAACATTTAACAGATTTTTGAAAAGATCAACTGAAACCAATTTATCTTTTATAATAAAATAAATATCTTCCATTTTTTATCCAAATAAAAAAATAAAAATTACATTGTTAACGATGTGTCAATACCTAATCATTCTATATAACCAAAGTATAGATTCCGTTCTCAAAAGAATTACCAGCTCTAGATATTTATCAGAAGTCATAAAGGGTTTCCCAATTTCCAGAATCTAAACGCAAGCCCCATAATTTATTCCTCAGTGTCGGCAGTTAGGAAATATTTTTTTTTATTTCAAATCGTTCTAAAAATAGAAAAATGAAGGTCATATTAAATGGAATTGCTTCGTAAATGTTTCATATGAATTTGGGTGCAAAATATTTATTCTCTAGAACAACGATGATTATTCAATTAAACAAGAAAACAATAAATTCTTTCTAGCAGGACAACAAACTGCTTACAGGTTTTCTCTATTTTGATAACGATAAATATATCAAATTTAATTGCAACATCAATTGAAATTTATCCAGAGTTCTTTTTGAACTTGAGTTTTCTTTCTTTTCAAACTACACTGAAGTTATTCTGAAGAATAAGCAGACGAAATTTATTATCTTTAAACCCCTAAGTATATATATGAAATAAAGCCTTTGGTGATACTGTATTTTATATATATAAATATTAAATATATATATAATGATGACATTTCAAATTTTAAGTTGAAGGGGCATTACAGCTACAAATGTTCGAATGACATAAATAATATATATATATATTTTACATTTACCTTAAGCCATAAAAAAAAAAAATTAATCAAAATGGTGTAATGTGCAAACTCTTTGATTGTTAATTTGATAATTGGATTAAAAATTTTGTGAAAGAGAAAGCATATTGGGGAATTTATTCAAAATACCTTTATTATCTTAGAAAAAATTTATTTTACAATATAATTATGATTTATATAAAACACATGTCTTTCAGCAATAATTCTACAGATTGAATCCTCAATATCTATTAGTCAATTCGTTTTTATAAAAACAAATATCAAACGAATTTCATTTTTTATTCCAGTTTTTGTCAACCACCTTTCTCTGCTTCAAGGAGAGAAAGATCATGAAAAAAGTTTTAAAAATATTTTTTTCCTTGCCTGAAAGCAATAGCCCATGTTTTTTGTGACTTTTGTAGCACGTTTGACAATCGTGGAACAGGATAAAGTTTTTTAAATCTTGGTGTTAGAAAGATGGAAATCTTATTTAAACATAGTTAACGGGGATGTCTAAAAAATTATGTATAAGAACTTTAAAGATTCGCCACCATATTGGAGTGTATGAGGATGTCTGAAAAAAAACTAATTTTAGCAAAAGTTATCAAAAATTTATTTTGAGATTATCGTTCTTTTGTAAAGCAATAAATCATTTAAAATATTTGTATTTGGAATTAATTAATAATTCTTCATTCGCAAAATGACCATTCTGGGATTCTGACAAAATGCAATGTAAATTTCTTATTGATCACCATGAAGGAAAACCGTATGTTGATTTTGTTTTTATCTATACATCTTCGTTTCCTGATTTTCATTAATCCATTTAAACTCATTGTTATTTAATTTATAAAAAATTTGGAAATAAGAAAAATATAAACAGTTAATATTAAAAAAAATTATTAAAACAAACTATAAATATATTCTGGTTTTTTAAAAGATAGCTTTTATTGCGATTGAAATTCTTTGTTATCAGAAGATTTAATATATGTGGGTAATTTTAAGATATATATATATATCTATATATATATATTGAATATTTATTTTAGTATAAAAATGTATTGGAAAATACATCAAATGTATATTTTACTATTACATTATTATTCCTAAAAAAATTTGATATAAAAACAAGAAATAAATTCATTTTCATGCCAAAAATGCATCCAAACAATTATAAAAATTATATGATCAAATTTGAATTTCCTCTGGAAATTGCAACTCCCTTTTGATTATCATTCCATTAGTAACAAGCTGTTTTTAAAAGCTTTACAAAAAGTTGTTCTTTGGAGGATACATTTTTGAAAAAATATTAATTCTATTAATTTTTGAAAAAACCAGATATAAAATTTTTGACATAACAAAATATTACCAATTATTAAAAATTTAATAGGCTTAGAAACATTTGTATGAAAAAATTTAAAGATACAAACTAAAAATTCCAAATCATGAACGTTTTATAAGAAACTCCTTCTTAAATATAGTTTATAATTTTAATAATTTATATATAATATAATATGAATAAATTTGATGTTTTCCACTTGGATGTATATGATTCTTTTTTGATAAAAAAATACCGACGGACGTCAGGAGAATCGTTAGCCTTAGTCTGAGAGCAATTATCTTTAACGGCGCCCATTGGACTACGCCATTTGATCTACACTTCTTACCTGTGACTACGAAAAACCAGTCGATTACTGCTACCGTATTCTACTTCCGGGACATATCAACTACCCATAAGGAACCTAAAAATTTATTAAACCAAAAATCGGTAATTCTTAGGCGTAGGCATAGTGAAGGCTGATTATTGGAATAATTGTCTCGTTATTGGCTTATCAATAAAGAAACATACCCCCCTGCTTTTTTTTTGTCACGCGGTCATGGTTTTATTTGTTTTTTTTTTTATCAATAAATACTGTTCCGTTATTTTTCTTTTTAGCCAGTTTTAACCTGAAGATCAGTTTAGGTGAAACCTAGGTAGGTTTTCTTGTCTCCTTAGGATTTATTACAGTTTATCGCTCTACTTAGTGTATTGAGCACTTTACGTAGTTGTATTTTTACTCGTTTTGTTTTTTTGTTTTTCTTTGGACTTGGAGCTTAAACACTGGACGATTGTTTTCGCCTTGGTTTGAAGTTCTTGGTTCTTTCTTTTTTTATTCCTAATTTTTTTTCGAGTACCGATTTGTACTAATACAATTGAGCTATCCAATATATATATATATATATATATATATATATAATAATAATGGACTCTCCCGTCGGTTTCGACGTATGAGGATCTGACAGCTTATTGATTCAGTTATGAAATTTTATGCGATAATCTTAAGTGGCATTTAAGACCCGCTAGTGATTTACAAAGGAGGCCACATATGGAGCAAGTGTGAGGATTGTGAGATGAGATTACTGTTAGATTGGTTGACCTTTTAGATCTTGCTCTCGCTTCTTGAAGATGATTCAGACAAGCAGATTTATATATATATATATATATATATATATATATATATTATAATCTGTTGCATTGGAACATGCAAGTTAACACTACAAAATGCATATTTTGTTTCGATGTCTAATTTAGACATCTCATCAGGTGATTAACATTGGTGTTAATAATTAATAATAATTATTACCACCAATGTTAATAACTGTTTAATTTATATTCTTTTCGTTCTTTTCACAAGAAAATACTGAAAAAGGACAAAAAAATCGTCTAAATGGCAAACACCTACCAGCTATGTAAAATCAAGTGTCCAAAGTCCAGATAGTCCAGCGAGTATAATAAATGCGTCACAATGTGAACACATGACGTTCTAGTCATCTGAATATCATGAGATCGTGTATCTCGGGCAAAGCCTCGGACTATCTTTTTTTTTAATATATATATATATATATATATATATATATATATATATATATATATATATATGTGTGTGTGTGTGTGTGTGTGTGTGTGTGTAATTTTATTATAAGATATTAAAACAAAAACGTTGAAATCGCTGCACAATAGCTTTCGTGTTTCGGCACTCCGTTGGACCTCTTCAGGAGATGGTAAGTGAAAGGGAATTTTTAACGCATTATGTACGAGATACAAACATTACCGCCTACCAGAACGCTCATGAGGAAGAGGTTTTAGCATTATCAGTAGCAGTCGACAAATTCCCTTTTTTCCAAAGTAGTGGGGGCATATATATATATATATATATATATATATAGAGAGAGAGAGAGAGAGAGAAAGAGAGAGAGAGAGAGAGAGAGATAGAGAGAGAGATAGAGATAGAGATAGAGATAGATAGGTAGATAGATAGATATTACCCCCGAACCAACGGAGTGTTCGCTAATAATGAGGAATGTGTCAGTGGGATTTTGTGATACAGCCAGATGTTATGCTGTTAATATTTCTACTAAGGTTCGCAATGAAGTTAACATAATCCAGAAGTTGAGTTGATTAGTCTACAAACTATTACTACCATGAGTTTGATACTTATATACATTTTCCTCTTTGTCGTCATATGCTGATCTCAACAAAGCTTAGTAAATTTAAAGTTCTAAACAACTAAGAAAACATGTATTTACTAATCAGAAAAAAAAGGTATAATTATTAGACATCTATGTGAATTTGCTTAGATAAATTTACGTGCATAAATACATACGTGTGAAAAAATTTATAGGTGAAGAATACATTTAATTTATTACTGGTTAAAAAACGAAACGGAAAAAGAAGACTTCGAGCGTTATTTTCAAAATGGCGATTATTATCGTCTGCCCGATTATGAGTCCATTGATTAACGCGGTGAAAGAAGAGGAAAATGTCGGTTTTAAAATGTAAAGAAAGAAGTTAAAGATGATTTCATGTCAGTTTTCGAAATTTTCAGAGAAATATAAAAAAAAAAACAATCAAATTAAACGTTTATAAATGAATAAAAAGTAAAACGGGAAGGAACGATCAATAAAGACAGAGAAACAGGAAACAAAGAAAAAAAATAAGGAAATAATGAATAAGAAAAAGAGAAATAATGAAAGAGAAGAAAAGGAAAAAAAGGGAAGAAAAGGGAAAGTGTAGAAAGAAACGAAGAAGGAATCAAGGAAAAATGGAGAAAAAAAAGAAACAAGGAAAGATAGACAGATTAAAAGAGTGACAGACAAACTAATTGAAAGACAGGCAGACAGACTAAAAGACGGACAAATTGAAAGACAGATTGAAAGATACATTGAAAGATAGACAGACTAAAATAAAGACAGACAGGAAAATAGACCGTTTGAAAGACAGACTGAAAGCTATGTTGAAATAGAGACAGAAAGACAGCCAGATTGAAAGACAGACAGAAAGACTGACAGACTGGAAGACAGGCTGAAAGACAGATTGAAAGATTGAAAGACAGGATGAAAGAGAGATTGGAAAATAGATCGAAAGACAGATGGACTGAAAGACAGGCTGAAAGACTGACAGACTGAAAGACAGGCTGAAAGACAGATTGAAAGATTGAAAGACAGGATGAAAGAGAGATTGGAAAATAGATCGAAAGACAGATGGACTGAAAGACAGGCTGAAAGACTGAAAGACAGGCTGAAAGACAGATTGAAAGATTGAAAGACAGGATGAAAGAGATATTGAAAGATTGCAAAGACAGGATGAAAGAGAGAAAGATTGAAAGACAGACGGACTGAAAGACAGGCTGAAAGAACTGACAGACAAAAAATCAATGTGAAAGACAGATTGAAAGATTGAAAGACACAGAGATTTTAAAAAGATCGAAAGACAGATGGACTGAAAGACAGGCTGAAAGATTGACAGACTGAAAGACATTTGAAAGACATAATTGAAAATTGAAAGACAGGATGAAAGAGAGATTAGAAAATAGATCGAAAGACAGATGGACTGAAAGACAGGCTGAAAGACTGACAGACTTTTTTAAAAGACAGATTGAAAGATTGAAAGACAGGATGAAAAGAGACTAGATCGAAAGACAGACGGGCTGAAAGACAGGCTGAAAGACTGAAAAATTTTGAAAAACAGATTGAAAGAAGGATGAAAGAGATATTGAAAGATTTAAGGATGAAAGACAGACGGACTAAAAGACAGGCTGAAAGACTGACAGACTGAAAGACGGGGTTGAAAGAGAGATTGAAAGATTGAAAGACAGGATGAAAGAGAGATTGGAAAATAGATCGAAAGACAGATGGACTGAAAGACACTGAAAGACTGACAGACTGAAAGACTGAAAGACTGATTGAAAGATTTTAAGGACAGGATGAAAAGAGATTGAAAATATGAGATCGAAACAGGACTGAAAGACAGGCTGAAAGAAGCAAGACTGAAAAAAGGCTGAAAGACAGATTGGATGACAGGATGAAAGAAAGATTGGAAAAATCATTCGAAAGACAGACGGACTGAAAGACAGGCTGAAAGACTGAAAGACAGGCTGAAAGACAGGCTGAAAGATTGAAAGACAGGATGAAAGAGATATTGAAGATTGAAAGACAGGATGAAAGAGATTGAAAATAGATCGAAAACAGACGGACTGAAAGACAGGCGGAAAGACAGACAGACTGAAAGACAGGCTGAAAGACAGATTGAAGATTGAAAGACAGGATGAAAGAGATTGGAAAATAGATCGAAAGACAGATGGACTGAAAGACAGGCTGAAAAGACAGACTGAAAGATAGGCTGAAAGTCAGATTGAAAGATTGAAAGACAGGATGAAAGAAAGATTGGAAAATAGATCGAAAGACAGACGGACTGAAAGACAGGCTGAAAGACAGATTGAAAGATTGAAAGACAGGATGAAAGACAGATTGAAAGATTGAAAGACAGGATGAAAAAGAGATTGGAAAATAGATCGAAAGACAGACGGACTGAAATACAGGCTGAAAGACTGAAAGACAGGCTGAAAGACAGATTGAAAGATTGAAAGACAGGATGAAAGAGAGATTGGAAAATAGATCGAAAGACAGACGGACTGAAAGACAGGCTGAAAGACTGAAAGACAGGCTGAAAGACAGAGTGAAAGATTGAAAGACAGGATGAAAGAGATATTGAAAGATTGAAAGACAGGATGAAAGAGAGAGGTGAAAATAGAATTGAAAGACAGACGGACTGAAAGAGATTGAAAGCCTGACAGACTGGAAAGACAGGCTGAAAGTCAGATTGAAAGATTGAAAAGACAGGATGAAGGAGAGATTGGAAAATACATCGAAAGATAGATGGACTGAAAGACAGGCTGAAAGACTGGACAGACTGAAAGACAGGTTGAAAGACAGATTGAAAAAGATTGAAAGACAGGATGAAAGAGAGATTGGAAAATAGATCGAAAGACAGATGGACTGAAAGACAACTGAAAGACTGACAGACTGGAAAGACAGGCTGAAAGACAGATTGAAAGATTGAAGACAGGATGAAAAGAGATTGAAAAATATCGAAAGACAGATGGACTGAAAGACAGGCTGAAAGACTGACAGACTGAAAGACAGGCTGAAAGACAGAAAAGATTGAAAGACAGGATGAAAAGAGATTGGAAAATAGATCGAAAGACAGACGGATTGGAAATACAGGCTGAAAGACTGAAAGACAGGCTAAAGAAGATTTATTGAAAGAACAGGATGAAAGACAGATTGAAAAAGATTGAAAGACAGGATGAAAGAGAGATTGGAAAATAGATCGAAAGACAGTCGGACTGAAAGACAGGCTGAAAGACTGACAGACTGAAAGACAGATTGAAAGATTGAAAGACAGGATGAAAGAGAGATTGAAAGATTGAAAGACAGGATGAAAGAGCCATTGGAAAATAGATCGAAAGACAGACGGACTGAAAGACAGGCTGAAAGACTGAAAGACAGGCTGAAAGACAGATTGAAAGATTGAAAGACAGGATGAAAGACAGATTGAAAGATTGAAAGACAGGATGAAAGAGAGATTGGAAAATAGATCGAAAGACAGACGGACTGAAAGACAGGCAGAAAGACTGATTAGAACTGAAAACAGATTGAAAGATTGAAAGACAGGATGAAAGAGATTGAAAGATTGAAAGACAGGATGAAAGAGAGATTGGAAAATAGATCGAAAGACAGACGGACTGAAAGACAGGCTGAAAGACTGACAGACTGAAAGACAGGCTGAAAGACAGATTGAAAGATTGAAAGACAGGATGAAAGAGAGATTGGAAAATATATCGAAAGACAGACGGACTGAAAGATAGGCTGAAAGACAGACTTAAAGGCAGACTGAGAGATAGATTGCAAAACAGACGGAAAGCTAGATTGAAAGATAGATTGATATACAGAGTGAAAGAGAGACAGACTGAAAGAGAGACATACTGAAAACTAGATTGACAGACTGAAATCTAGACTGAAAGCAAATTGAGAGACAGACTGAAAGAGAGACAGACTGGAATAGATTGAAAGACAGACAGACTGAAATAGAGGCTGAAAGACAGACTTAAAGGTAGACTGAAAGATAGATTGATATACAGACAGACTGAAAGAGAGACAAACTGAAAGAAAGACAGATTGGAAAATAATTAGAAGGACAGACAGGAAAAGAGAGAGAGAGAGAGAGAGAGAGAGAGAGAGAGACTGAAGATTGAAAGATAGATTGACAGACAGACTGAAACCTAGATTGAAAGATAGATTGAGAGACAACTGAAAGAGAGACAGACTGGAAGAGAGACACTGAAAAATAGATTGAAAGACAGACAGACTGAAAGAGAGACTAGACTGAAAACTAGACTTGGCAGACTGAGAGCTAGATTAAAAGATAGATTTAGAGACAGACTGAAAGAGAGACAGACTGGAAATAGATTGAAAGACAGACTGAAAGAGAGGCTGAAAGACAGACTTAAAGGTAGACTGAAAGATAGATTGATACACAGACAGACTGAAAGAGAGACAGACTGAAAGAGAGACAGACTAAAAACAAGATTGAAAGATAGATTGACAGACAGACTGAAAGGTAGATTGAAAGAGAGACAGATTGAAAGAAAGAAGTTCAGGGAAAATTGTTGATCGCCTTTCCATTGATTATTGGATCTGATGAGATTTTTACATTTGGATACAAACCGATTAATTCCAGCCCGATTTGTCCTTTCCAGTCGAGTAGAAAGATTTAGTGCTGCCATACTGGGGCGAGACAGGGTGGCTGATATTCAATTTGCCGGTTTGATTGTTTATCGTGAAATACACACACACACACACACTTACACATACACACATACAAATTCAATTTCCTAAATGTAAACGTAATATATATATATATATATATATATATATATATATATATGATAATATTTGGTAATCTGTAGGATAATACCAAAAGGATATAAATCCAGGAAGAGCACAATGTACTAAAACAGAGCAATAACAATACTTATTATTAAGAAAACGAACACTTAAAAGACTATGGTGATATTTATTTAACATATTTTTTTGTTTTTTTTTAAATCCTGGTTACATTTTATCCATTTATATTTGTGCGTAAAGAGCCGGTCTGAAAAGTTGAGACCTCTCGATCTTAACGAAATAAATATCACCATGTTCTTTTAAGATTTCGTTTTCATAATAATAATAATAATAATAATAATAATAACAACAAAGCATTTATCCACTGTGCCATGTGTCCTTGGTTAGATCCAGTGACAGAACCCGAAGTGTGTGAGTTCAATACCCGGTTAAGGCAGTGGAGAACTTTCAGACGGAAATTAACAGGAGATAACTGATAACAGACATCCAATAAAAAAAGCGAGCGAAATAAAGGGTTTAGTTCGACATCCCAACAACCTAAAGAAGGCCGGAGCGTACAACGCCCGGAACTTTGTGATAAATATGGCAACAAAGATGAGAACAATAGTCCTAATAATGTATATAATGTACATAATACCTCATCTCAGAAATATAGACGGATA